AGACTTAAGCATATCAAGAGCAGAATGTATTACAACTTCTGCTGCAGTACCCCACTTGTGACAATCCAGGTGTTTGTCCAGCCGGTGAAGGAGATGTCCAGTCTCTTCCATTACCCTGTTCTAGTTTCACCTCTCCAGCAATTGGAGGTTTTCATTAATCTTTGCTGAAACTGAGCAAGTTTCTCTTAGTCCTTGTCATTTTCAGTAGGGAGAGGAGTGATTATCTATTCCTATAAAAGTCTTCTGCACATGGGAAAATTGGTGTGATGTTGTCCACCCTCAGCCCTTCCTTTCCAAGACCAAAATTCTTGGTTTTCAGCTCTTCTTTGTTGTTCTCTTTGAGATTCCTGAAAGGGTCGTTTCCAGTGTTGGACAGTCACATCTCTTCTAACACCCTCTAGAGCAGTATAATGACCTCCTGTTTTTCACACTCAGCACTTTATTAAAATAACCTAGATTCAAATTCATCCTCTTTTGAATAACTTCAGGCCCTGGGTTATATTTAGTTTATGACCTACTCTAATGCACATATCCTTTTCTGCTGTTCTGCTACTAGCCAGTTATTCCATGTTATATTTGTGCATTTAATTTCTCCTTTCTAACCATAGCTCTTCATCTTTCTTTTTCCTGACTGTCATCTCTCTGACTTCTCGGGGCTGTTTTATTCCCTGAATGCCTGTGGTAGGTAGGTTTTAATCTTATTACATGTTTTCTTTCTTTTCCTTTCTGTTTTTCTTTTTTACAGTTGTTTCACTTACATTCAGGTTCTTAAAAGAGCTTCAAAATGGTCTCTGAACAGTGCTTTCTTTGGATTTTACTGTTTATTGTTTGCCTTTAATAATTTTTTAAATTTAATTTGAAATTAATTATAACTTTGGACGTATACTATCAGAAACTGACCCAGTAACAGTGATGAAAATTCATTCTTAGCTGACCCCAATGAATCAGCATGTTTAGTTAAATAACCAACCAGAAATATTCCTCAATCCTAACATTTTTAAAGTTAATTACTTTTCCAGTACCAATATTTCTGGTTGAAGATTTCATTAACTATTTCTGTTTAAACAGAGGACAAAATGTTAATTATATTTCAGAATATTGTGCTTGTAGTATATTTTTACTGCACATCACACAAGCATCTATGTATGATATAAGCAGAGCTGTACTTTTTTTCTTCTCTAACTGTACTATTAGGCTGGTGATTATAGTACTAAATTGCTTTCTATCAGAAGACATTTCGCTTTTTTTTTTAAATTCTGATTATCATGTCATAACCAGAAATTCATTTTCCCTAATTTTCAAGTATAGGAAGATTTTAAGTTTAAAAATTTACGTGCAAGACAGTTTCAAGTTCTTGTGTGTTTGATAGAATCTTTTTATGTGTTTCTCATGTATTTTTTCTTCATTACTCACATGCTAGAATATTATGGTTTGTATTCTTACAGATATTTAGACTTTTTTTATTAAGCATAATAAAGGTCATAAATTAGCTGGACTTTAGCACTGAACAGAGCAGTAACTAAACAACTTTCAAAACTTGGCTTAGGACTTTGAGAGATAATGTGAGAGACTATTTCACAATTACTTATATTGGTCAATATTTACCAAAATACTACATTTTGCAAATGTTCAAAGCATGTATATAATATAAAAACTTGCTGTGCAAATGTAGTGTGAAAAGCAGCACTATCCTATGTACATTGAGTCTCGTAGAACAATGCTTATTTTTTGATGGTACATTAAAACTGATCATCTTAAATGAGTGTAGCATTATCTGAAATACACAGATGTTTAACGAAAGATCAGTGTTACAGAAAACGAATTTATGTAGCATTATCTGAAATACACAGATGTTTAAAGATCAGTGTTACAGAAAACGAATTTGAAATATTAAATACTAGTTTAATTGAAGAATTTATGAAAAACTACATATTTATGCTGTGGATATTGCTGTCCCCAGATGGGAACTGTGTAAAGACAAGATAACTAAAAGCAAAAGGAAAGAAAATGAGAATGCATCTGAAATAGAAAGTCCTTAAATATAGGCCCAAATGTGTTGTCATCTGTTAGTTGAACACTGACTATGTGTTTCTGAAATGCAGATAACCAAATCCGTCCCACAACCAGATCCAAATACAGTGAGCTGCGACAGTGACAGGGCAGAAGTTCTGCTGCGATCGCAGCAGAGATCTGCTGTAGTTGTTAGCATGAGCACTTCTCCAGAGCACCCCATCCAAAACTGAGAATGCAAACTTTCACAATAGTCACTGTCAACTTACAAATTTGTGCTGTTTAATACACATTCTCATGTTGCTTTGCCCTGGCTCTGTGTGTGAGGTGTGCATTAATAGAAATTACCCCCACGTTGCCAAGTTTTATTATATAATTAATTAGGGAAAAGGTACGGCAGGAGTTCTGACGAGAACTGACAGACAACTGGTGGCCTGCAGCTAGCTGTTTAGTAGAGAAGGAATTGAATGGATCATACTCTGTATGCGAAGGAATATTTGGAATATTCCTTCATAAGTAAATAATAATAAGTAAACAGGACTGTTACTGGAAGAGCTAGCTACTTAGGCAGCAGGTCTCATTGTATGTGTAAGAAATGCATTCTGCAGAATTGCTGTTTTGTTTTGTTGTTTTGATCTAAAATGGTAAAAAAAAATTGTAATTCAGTCTGTGTTTCTGACTGGGGAGCAGAACTATGCTTATTGTCAGTGGAGATTTTCATGACCTGCTTTCAGGTGATGTCTGTTTGGGAGAGTTCTGTTACTGTCTGGAAAGACCTCTGTTTCTCCACTGACAAGTATAGGTGGTGTATGACAACTCCAGTCCCTGTGTAGGAGCTTACATTTAGGTGGTAGCAATGTGAATCTCAGTCTGCTCACAATCCAGTCTCCTGTGCTCTGGGATTTTACAAGTCACAAAGAGCTGGTTTAGTCAGGGTGTATCACTATGTTACCACTTGCTGGGGTAAGTCACCTTTAATAGCTTGTGGTGTTCCAGGACTCTGGTTCCTCACTGTCCTCATGGCAGACGTGCTTTAATATGGGTGGGACTGGAGGGGCAGTCTTCTGAACGGGTCCTGGAAGTCGGGTGTCCTAGGCACCACCGCGGCTAGGGATTCTGCGCACTGTGAAATATAATGCCTTCGTGTTACGCTTTCATTTTATCATCCGTCCATCCACACAGCTTTGGATGTGAAAACACGAGGTTTCGTATGTAGGGTTGTGTGTGTGAGAGCAGAACTTGGAAACACAACTTCAGTTTAATTGAGTCTGCTGGTTTCTAAACTTGGAGTGGAAGCCAGCTTGTTCTTTCTGAGCCTCTTTTGAGTATATATTGCATTAGAATTTAAAAAGTAATTAGATTCAATTTGTCACTGCAGTAAGCGGATGCCAAGTGTGAGCACACATAGGGACCAGATTAATTTCCTGAGTGTTACAGTTCTGTTTTTTCAGAAGGGAACCTTAATTCAAGTTTCTCACTGTAGGATGTAGTGGGGTCTTCATTAGAATTTCAAATTGCAAATTGTGGCTCTCGGCTCAGACCTCAAGTCTGTGTTCCATTTGTTTTAATACTTTAATGCAAATTCTGTGGTTTATATGTAATTAACTTTCTGTGGAACAAGCCAAGCAAAATGTTTCAGTACGGTCTTCTCTAAAGATCTATGTTTTCTCATGTTTGAGTTCTGTATGTTGGAATTTGATTCTGTTATAATTATTTGCAATATCCATGTGTTTGCAAAAAAACCCAAACCCACCCAAGCCCTGCAGATTTGCTGTGAGTTGAAGACGATGCTGGCTTCTAATTTCAAGCAATGAAAAGAGTTAGAAATTATTGAGAACATTAATTCCTTAAGAGCTCATTACTGTTTTTAGTAGAAATAATTCAGAAAATTAGAAACCCATGAGTCTGAACTTCCCTGCCTTTCAGAAATAAATTTTAGGCTTCCCTTTTTAAAAAGACAGTAGCAAGGTACTTTTCACTTTGTTTTGAAGTTTTTGTTATTTAAATAGAATACTTTTAAAAAATTACAGTTATTCTTAGAACTTGTTTAGGAGTTGTACACCATTATAAAGATTAAAAAAAAAAACCCCGATGTAAACCTTTTACATCAAAAAGAAGAGAATAAGCATAATTTTGGTGTCTTATAGCTTTTGTGGTATTTTCAAAAGCTAACCTAAAGAGAGTGCTGGAACATTAAATGCAGTTCTTGGAGGCAGTGGCAAGGTCACAGGACTAGGAGTCAGAAAATCTAGATTCTATTCTTGGCTCTCTTGCTGACTTGTTGCCACCCAAATTCTCTGCAGCCCAAGATCCTCATATGCAAGGTGAAGCATAATGATACTTAATTTGGGAGTGCAGAGCTCTGTGGGTGAAGAGTACTAAGGATTATTATTGCATTTCTGTCCGTGGAGAAAGGCACGAGCAAAAAAAAAAACCCAAAATAAACCTAAATAATACTTTACTCTATTTTTATTTGTCCTAGGGAATTTATTAATTTTGATGTGTTTAACACAACTAAGTCCTCTGGAGAAAATTTTACTTTGCACTTTTATGTAACGGTGCCTGCTTAAGGGGCACATATTTATAGCTAATATTTTTAAGGCAGTCTTACTAATGCAATATTTATTCATTCAAAGGGCCCCCTCTCAAACATGAAGAACAGAGATACTGGCTCACCCACTCAGGTAAATGCAGAGCAGCCGAACAAGAACAAGAATCCTAACATAACGTGGCTCAGTGAGGAAGAATCCTTCAGTGACATAACCACTCCATCTTACAAAAAACCTCTCTATGGCATCTCACACAAAATCACGGAGAAGAAGAACCCACCAGGAGCAGAGCAGTTTGCTTCTTATGAGTTGTTTGAAAAAATCAACCTCAGCAGTCCCTCGCCTCTTCGGACTTTGAACGACCAACGCAAAAGGGACTCGGCTGCAACCATTGCCGTAACAGCGGCCACCGCGGATTCTGACCCAAATATATATTCTTTGATACAGAAAATGTTTTACACGCTTAACACTCTCAATACCAATATGACTCAGCTTCACAGTAAAGTTGACCTGTTGTCTCTGGAGGTCAGCAGAATTAAAAAGCAAGTCAGTCCAGCAGAGTCTGTTGCAGACTTCAAGCCTCCCCCGGAGTACCAGCTGACTTCTGCGGAGCTCAAACAAATTATGGATCAAAGCACATCAGGCGGAGACCTGGCTTGCCGGTTGCTAGTGCAGCTCTTCCCAGAGCTCTTCAGCGACAACGAGTTGAGCAGAAGCTGCAGCGCGTGCGGCTTTCTCAACAAAAGGAAACTTGAATCTCTTCATCTGCAGCTTATCCGTAACTACGTGGAAGTTTGTTATCCTTCTGTGAAGAATACAGCTGTGTGGCAGGTGGAGTGTTTGCCTCAAGTCAATGATTTTTTCAATAGATTCTGGGCTCAAAGGGAAATGGAAAACAGTCAGCAGAATGTGCAGTCGTCCAGTTTTTATGAAGCTGAGCAGGTCGAATCCTCTCATTTTATGGAGGCTAAAGAGCAGGAGGAGGCTTTGTCCTTGGACAGGAGTAATGCCATTGCCTCGGATTACATGCTGGACGCTCAGGATCTCAATGAATTTTTAGATGAAGCTACTTCCCCAGGGGAATTTTCTGTTTTTTTATTACACAGGTTGTTTCCGGAACTCTTTGACCACAGAAAATTATCTGAAAGGTACAGCTGCTTTGGAGACTCTGGAAAACAACTGCTGGATCCTCATCGGCTTCAAATAATCCGTAGGTACACTGAAATTTACTTTCCAGATGTGCAAGAAGAAGAAGCCTGGTTGCAGCAATGTGTTCAGCGAATAAATGATGAACTTGAAAATACGTATATGGATGGAAGTGAATGTGATCAGATGAGAGATGACTGTTACGACTCTTCTAGTTTACCCGACGATGTATCAGTCATAAAAGTGGAAGACAGTTTCGAATACGAAAAGCCTGGCAGACGCTCAAAAAAAATTTGGCTTGTACCCATAGACTTTGACAAACTTGACTTTCCCCCTCCTGATTTTGATGTCCCTGTCCCAGATTACCTGTTGAACAAAGAACAGATTAAGAGCATATATGAAAGCAGTCTTTCCATAGGCAACTTTGCCTCTCGATTGCTTGTTCTCTTATTTCCTGAACTGTTTACTCCCGAAAACTTGCGGAAGCAATACAACTGTAGCGGATCCTTAGGGAAGAAACAGCTCGACCCCACTAGAATTAAATTAATTCGACATTATGTGCAGATACTGTACCCCAGAGCAAAGAATGACAGAGTGTGGACATTGGAGTTTGTTGGGAAGCTTGACGAGAGGTGTCGACGAAGAGACACGGAGCAAAGGCGTTCGTACCAACAGCAGCGGAAAATCCACGTGCCAGGGCCTGACAGGAGGGAATTTCTCAGCTATGTAATAAACCCCGAGAGGTTTCGCGAAGAGTTCGAAGGGCCGCCGCTGCCACCAGAAAGAAGCAGCAAGGATTTTTGCAAGATACCACTCGACGAACTCGTGGTTCCTAATCCAGACTTCCCTGTGCCTTCTCTGTATTTGCTGTCTGATAAGGAGGTAAGAGAGATAGTGCAGCAGAGCCTGTAAGTCGGCAACTTTGCTGCCCGGCTTCTCGTACCGAACTCTTTACTCCGGAGAATCTCAGACTGCAATACAACCATTCAGGTGCTTGTAACAAAAAACAGCTCGATCCCATCAGACTGAGACTGATCCGTCATTACGTGGAGGCAGTTTACCCTGTGGAGAAAATGGAAGAAGTATGGCATTATGAATGTATACCGAGCATTGATGAAAGGTGCCGGCGTCCTAATAGAAAAAAGTGTGATATACTGAAAAAAGCAAAGAAAGCAAAAAAAGTGACAGGCTCTTTAAGTTCCTAAGACTTTGACCACTAAATTATTGTCAGGATTATGCTTTGGTTTAGACTGAGGGGCCTGTCGGGAGCTGAGGGTGCTCAGCATCTAGGACAGTCAGGCACTAAGTTTGTTGCGTTTTAATGTGTGTGTTGCATCTCTGTGGGCACCGCAGCCGTGGGAAGTGGCTTACTACAGTTGTACGTGGGTAAAGACCATAAGTCATCAGTGACTCGCTAAGAGCATGATTTTTGCTGGTCAAATACATGTATTGAAACTGTATTAGTCCGCTGCCCATTTCTGCATCTTCCTTTTTTATCACTTTCTAGTAACAAATTTTTTTTAAATCATTGTGCTCTTCAGGGGCAGTTTTTCATTATACCCTTATAAACGATCTTGTTAGTTAATTAGGAGTTTGAAATTTAAACTTAGTTTAAATTTGAAAGTGCCATGTTCATTGGAAACCATTGGAATATTGGACTTTGCTTCTACAGTAATTGCAGCTTCGTGTTTGTTTTGTTCTTGATGATACGGAGATTCTGAAAATAATAATACTGTGTCAAAGAGTGGATCAGAATGGTGTCATTTGCACTTTTGACTGTTACACAGGTTTTATTTCTAAAACCAAGAATTAACTGTTGAAGAATTGAGACGTGAGCGTAGACACAATGTGAATTTTTTTTTATATTGACACCACAAGCTTGATCCTGCCCTTGTGAGTTCTTTTTTTGTTTTGTCCAGTGTCACTGCAGGCATGACTGAGGATGGCTCGTCTGACTAAAGCCAGCAGAACAGACCCAAGCCTGTACCCATGGAATGTCCTGCCATCACCTGCTTGCCACTGTGTTTGTAAAATAACAAAGACAACAACAACAACAACAAAAAGACCTGAAACACGAGAACTTAGAAAAATTTTGGACCTTACTCTCTATCAATATCATGATTCCAAAGGTTTCCAGTATTCCTATTGAATTGCCTATATAAAAAGTATGTGCAAAGATTGGTTTGGTGCTGAAATTCAGTGTTTCAGGGTCCCCACTTACGAGCTGTGTCAGTGTAACTCATTCTTAGCGTGAATGCAGCAGCGTCTGGATATTTCGGGTGTAGGGATATGGAACTCCCTCACTTTGCCAAATTGATGTAGTGTAATTAGTAGCTATTTGGAGGCATAACTGTCTATGTATAACTTAGGTTCATATGGTCAAGTTTGCATCATTAATATGTTCAAGTGTAACAAAGACCACCCAGAACCCAATGTGAATTTGCTGTATGACTTGTCACTGGAGAGTGCTGCTTTAAAACTAGTTCTCCTCTTTTCAGTTTTTTCTTTGTCTTTTAATACTGATAGAAACAGTGAGAGAGAGTCAAACATGGATTTTTAAGACAGTAAAGACAGTGATTGCTTACTGATCATCACTGGAACACCTTGGAGCAATTGTTGATGTTCTCTGTGGTCCTTTTTTGTTGTTTACTTAGATGAGTCATGGTATCAAATTTTAAGTCAGTTCCAGTGTAATTTTCTGTTTTAGCATTTGTAAGAAAGTACAAAATGCTTGATGTTTTTAGTTCAGATTTTTAGAATTTATTGTTCTTAGAGTCGTATCGATCCCTTTCTTTTAAAAGCAAAGCAAAATGGTTTTTTCCTGATGGCAAGAACTAGTAAAAGTATTATGTTAAACCAGGAGTAAATCATGATAGATAGTAGCATTTGCTCATTTTCCCCGTATGCTAGCAACATTCTCAAAGAATGTATGAAGAAAGTCATGAATGTACGAAGTAATACACTGATACTGTTTATATTCATTTAAATGTTTCCTGTTGGTTTAAATAGTAGCAGACCATGCACAAAATGGATATCAGAGCAAATATGGCTATAATAAAATGAAAACATTTTACCAAAGATAAAGAACTGATACCACAACGTCTGCATCTTATCTTTCATTTTAGTGCATAAGTTTAGCAAATTGAATGTATCAGAAGCCAAGACTTTCTCTTGTAATGGTGTGCTACTTAGCACCTCTGTGAAATTTTTTACCTGCACTTTTATGGGAGATACAAAGTGACAGAAAATATTAACAGCTGCTTAATTTGTTGTTGCGAATGGCTGGCCAGAAGGTAAGAAATATGATTATATTTTCTTACCTTAATGTCATACATGTTTCACCACTTAGTGATGTCAAAGCTCCCAGAATTCGATATATATTGAACTTTTTTACCATTGAGAGATGTTACCAGCTAGCATGCAAATCTGAGACATACTGGCTTTTACTGTAGATGTTGACATTAAGTAAAAAAAATCAGATCATTTGTATTATCTACTAAGTAGTGAAAAAACAATTTTCACCTTTTAAATTACATTTTTGAAAGTGGGTATAGGAAGATTTTCATTGTTGGGTTTTTTCTCTTGCCTTCTGTCTAATTGCTGTGTACATTCCTTTTATCTCGCTCTTCACAACACTTTCATGATTCGTTCGATTGTGTGTTTTGTAACTGGTATCAAGAAAATACAGACGTGTGAATAGTGACATGGTTCACTAATGAAAGTTTTTGCAGTGCACCTGAACTACAGCCACATCATCCAGTCGGTCAGTCTTGTAAATAAATTAAAGGTATATTATTTTCATACAAGAGGAATGTTGTCTGGTGATTGCTTGAGTACAAGCAGGACTTTTTTCCTATAAAGTGTGTTACTAAGATCTGAGATAACCTTAAGTAATTGCACAACACATCAGCGAAAATACCCTGGTTTGCTGCAGCCATTTAAAAATATTTTTCTGGCTTTTAGATTTTTTTTGTTTAAAAGAATAAACTTGTTGTTTTGAAAGTGAGGCTCTAATAGGAAGATTGCTAGATGTTGAAGTGTTTGGGACATACGGAGCCATGCACACACTGACTCTCTATGGATGAACATCACTTTCTACGTCCCAGGTCAGTAAACCCTGTTAAGGAGAATATCAAGCGTGTCTGTCTTCTTCTTATAGTTTCAATACATCAGCTTTGGATAAGCGTTGAACAGCCCACTTCTAACAGCTTTCTAAAAGGAACAGGGTAATAGATCATAACTCCGTATCTCTGTGTCTTAGCCATTTTCCACGAATTAAAACTTACTCAGAAGCACTTTAGAAGATGTAAACCAGCACATCAAAAGGGAGGTCAAGTCTGCATCAGTTTGTTGCCCATTGACTGTATTCAGCTGACAGAATCAACAACAGGTTTGCAAATGAGAAAAATCTTTACTTGAAGTCAGCTGCTTTGTTATGCCAAGGCATTACAGCCACCAAAGTGTTTCGTGCTCTAGAAATGTTTGTGACTGGTTTTTTCTTATCTTCAAAATGCACATAATTTATTTCTAGGTATATGTATTTTTTTAAATCTGTCATTTGTCTCTTTTCAATTGTTGTTTGATATTTATACTATATATATAGCAGTGAGAAACAGAGAATTGTGTGCTCAATGCTCTACAAAGGCACACCAGGTCTAATTTCGTGCTGGAAGGGGCCAGGATGAATTCTACAGCCCCAAGAAGCACAGAAAATAATATGCAGGTTTTATTCAAAATTTTGTTTTTAGTCAGATTTTGTTTCACTGATGAGAGGGATGCAAAACAGCTGGAAAATTCAGTGTCTTAAGCTTGCCTGTACTGGGGGTGGAGCATAAATTGACATAACATATTTATGGGAGAAAAAGTGTGGCAGGTTCAAGCCTTACGATTTTTCTGATGAAATGAAACAAACTCCATTACTGTCATTGCCAAAATTTCTTCACTTCCTCGGTTTGACTTTCTGATTTTTTTCATTTTTACTGCAATTCAGTTAGCACAAATGGAGTTACGTTTTTTTTTTCTCAGGTCAGGAATGTTCTGAAAACATCTTTCTTTTAAAAAGTGCTTGAAGGGGTTTAAAATGAATAGATGAACTGATGGCTTAGTTCCCTCTCTTAATTCTGTCTTACGATTTCTTTGTTAAGAAAGACAGAAAAAGAAATAAATTTGCATTTGTCTTCATCCTTTCCTACCTACTTTTTCGTCCTAGTAGTTATTGATAGATACATTTCCAGTAGCAACAGTGCTTTCGAAATCCTCATTTTACAAACTCCTCCATTGTAAAAGTCATTCATCTTAAACTTCTCACTGGTAGCGATAGCCTTCATTTCTTACAGAAGTTTCTCACAGAATACATAATAACTCATCATTATGTTTGTCACAGCTCATACAAATCCTGTTCTGAGAGGTCATCTGTCCTGCAGCAGGGTGCTGGCTGAAGGAGCTGCCCTGGGCTGGCCAGTCCCAGTGCTGGACGTAGATGATTCGTAACAAAATCAGAACTCCATCATAGTCACATTTTGGTTATACCTCATCTGATGGGCAGGAGATTAGCCCTTACACTGCATTATTTTTATCCAGTATATTCCTTTTCATTTTTGTCATTTTCTTGATGCTGTCTTTTCTAGTTAGTGGCCATAAAAGCCTGTGACATGGGCAGACCACCTGCTTACTCCATTTCCTGATCTGTTGTATGATGGGGCTGTGGTCCCCACTGAGCATTTTTCTTTCATTAACAATTGGGAAAGAAGAACTTTGATCCTCACAGGATCAAAGAGCTGTAATAGAAAGGAAATAAAGCTGTTGTGGACAATAACTGTTCTTTTCCCACTTCTCGCCCCCCGCCTTCCCCAAAGACAAACATGAATAGAACAAACATGGTTTGTTGTTTTGTTTTGTTTTGTTTTACTAGGTTTTCCTTATTTTCAACTATTAGCATGGCTTCCCAGTCAAAAAAATGGGCAAAATTACGATTTGTGTTAATAGATGGAAAGAAATTGTGATTACTGAAGACTGGAGGAAGACCAGCTAATTCATATCTATGCGTGCACACACACACACACACACACACGTCAAGTAATCATTCTCAATTTCCTTCACAAATCTCATTATGGAAAAACAATGGTTTGTCATTGTTTCCAGAGGCATGTTGTAGTCTTGCATGTTAATGCTCACTTCTCTGGGAGGCAAAGTGTTCCTTCACTCGTTACACTTTCAGGAATACCACTTTGGTTAGCTCATGAGGTAGTGTGTTAGCAAGGTCTACAAATGCTCCCTGCAAAAAGAAAATCCTGAAGTACCTCTCAGCAGTAGGAACAAGTCACTCACTCAGTAGGATCGCATCCTACATTTGAGATTTGTTCTATTGTATAAAACTTAGAGTTTGGTGTTACATCATGTAATGCTGTCCCTTGTCTCTCTTGCTCCCTACCTCTCCTTGTTCCAAGAATTAAAAAAAAAACAACCCCAGGGCCTCCTTGAAGTGCTTGTCTGTATGTGCATTAAATGCTGAAGCACTGGAAGCAAGAATTTTAGCTTCAGCAGTACTCAGTTTGTCTGCCCCCCCCCCCCCCCCTTTGTGTTCCTTTCCCCACACGTGCCATTGTGGAATGACCACCGCAACTGGCCTGCACAGGTTGTTGAGCGCTGTAGGTGCTGAAGGTAGACTGTCCTGTTCTGACATGCCATTACAGAAAAAAAAAACCCAAAAACCAGCAAAAACCAACAAAACAAAAATAAGACCCAGAAACACTTTGGTGCTTTTCTGGTATATGGAAAAAAGAATTGCCTATTATTTTGAGGGGCCAGAGTATAACGTGTCCTCTCTCTCTCTGTTGAGCTGTGGGCAGCAGAACTCAGACCCTGTTCAGGGGCGTTGGTATGTGCCTGCTTTAGTTGACCAGCCTGACTCTTCTGCCAGACCCATGTGAGCAATTGTCCGCTACTCTGTCACAGGATCCTGTGCCCTGCTCCGTAACGCAGGCTGGCCCACGTGCAGCAGATGCTGCAGCGTGTAGCATTGCTCCTGCGGCGGGTAAAACAGGCAGAGCTGTCAGATAAAGCTGCGTGCTGTGCCGGTGACGGCCGGGTCCTGCACCCACAGGCTGGTGGTGCCTGCCTCTTACAGGGCCAGGCAAAGGCTCTGGATCAGGTCAGCCCCCCCGTGCAAGGGCAGGCGTGCTGGCCAGTCTGGGCCTCACGCCTGACAACCCGCGTAAGGTTGGCTTAGTGGTTAATGCAGAGGTGGCTTGGACAGCATAGTCAGCTGTGCTGCCTCCAGAGAACTTGTTGGTCACTTCTCAAGCCGTCCAAACCTCCCTTTATGACCTCTCGGCAGCATCTCCGAGAGGAAGACCTTTCATATAGGTCCTCCACCACGCAGACTAAGAATGGCTGATGCTGACGTCCTGGAGCAGGACATTTAGTAGAGCAGTGACAGAAAGGCAGAAGCGTCGATCACTTACCCAATTCACTGTCCGTACCCTGAACTCCAGGCAGGAGGAAAAGCATTTGTGTGTCTCCCACCACTCAGTAGCACTAGAGATTTGGTAGCGTTAAAACCTTCGTTTGACCATTTCTTACTACTTTGCCATGTCATCTGACCAGACACTTGACCATGCTATGAGATGGACTCTATCACCTTAAATTCATGGCCGATGAAGGGAAGGTGCACAGCTGATGCCCAGATAAGTTTATGTGTGCTTTACATACACACAGTCTATGTGAGCCTGCCTGAAGCCCCCTGAAGGTCCAGCAAACACTGTGGCTGTGATGTGCCTGTTCCTATGCCTCTCAGAACACATGCTGGCTCTGCTCGCCTGGCACTTATGTCAGTCATTAGCCAAGCCTTGCCCTTCTTTAGCTCACAACCCAAAAGTTTAAAGGCTGCAGAAACAAGCACAACCTACTCAGCAATGTCTGGCCCCAGTAAAAAGGTCTGATCGATAGAGAAGCTTATCCAGGACAGATCAATGCAGCCAAGTGAACAGCTACTCGCCTTCCTGCTGTCATAGTTTACCTCTGAGATCACCCTGCCTGTGACTGAATCTTTCTTTTCTGAAGCCAATGGATACAGTTCTCCCTTCAACCAGTTCAATCCTGAATCCACAGAGGGTGCTCTCACCCATCACAAGACTCCTTAGGAAGTCTGCCTTTTTTTCTCCTTTACTTTGCTGATACCGCTAGTGGATCAACACTCAAAACCTATGAAAGCCTGTTGCTACCTTAATCTATCACCGAAGACCTGCTTTTGGTGCCAGTCATAGAATAACAGAATGGTTTGGGTTGGAAGGGGCCTAGTTCAACCCCCCTGCCATGGGCAGGGACACCTTCCACTAGACCAGGTTGCTCCAAGCCCCAATGAGCCTGGCCTTGAACACTGCCAGGGAGGGGGCAGCCACATCCCCTCTGGGCAACATGCTCCAGTGCCTCACCACCTTCATCATAAAAAATTTCTTCCTTATATCCAATCTAAATCTATCCTCTTTCAGTTTAAAACCAGTGCCCATAGTTCTGTCACTACAGGCTCTGGTAAAAAGTTTCTGTCATCGTTAGGAATGGGCTAGGTCTTGATTGCAAGCTCTCATCTACTATCTATTATTACTTCCCAATAGGCTTCTCCAGAAGTTAAAATCTAAGGTTTTTGGCCTAATATTGCAGTCATATTCTGTCCAACTCAAGAAATTACCCTGCCATTGGCCTTTCTTATGTCAATGGCTTTCAGGGATGCAACTTTCCTGTCCATCTTGGATGCCAGGCAGGTTTTGGCTTCTTTTTATCATTATTGTTTTTAACCTAGACAGAACAGACCCTTTCAGAAAGTTAATCTCTTCATGCCTGCACCTTGGCTATCCCCAAGGCCCAAAGCATTCCTGGGGTTTACGAGTGGGGTCCCGTTCTGGCCCTGTAAGCTCTGGTGTGTAGGCTACTGCTGCTGGAGGTGGCAGGCAGCGTGACTGTACACACTGATACGCACTCGACAGGTGACAAACGGTTGCTGCCTAGCAGCTGGTGCTCACTGACATGCTACTCGTAACACATCTTTCTACTTGTTTCTCTCAGCCTCCCTGTAGATTATGGGAGCCACTTAGAATAGCAACAGTCAGTGGAACTGAGGAACAACGATGCATCTCATCTCTTTATTTTCTATAGCATTTGGTGCAAGCTCCAACCACTAGAGTGGAGACAACGATGCCCGCAATGGAAGTGCAGCCTGCCATGTTCCTCTGCGTGCTTGCTATGCTGGATCTCTTCATTTCTGCAGTGTAAGGATCACCAAAATCCCCTAGGAAAGCTTTCAGGATCACGTCCTCTTAAGAACCCATTTTTTTAAAAGGTCACTATGCCTCTAAAACTAACTAGACATGTATCTGCATCTTTAAACATCCACACAATCACAAAAAAGCCCAAAACAGCACAGATTTTAGCTATGCCTGAAGAAAGCCAGGAATTATTTCACATCCTGCACTCAGCAGCCACCACTTCTGGGGCTACAGACAGCAGCAGGTACAGCCTGCTTAAACACAACCAGTGAGCGGCTGTTGGCAGCTGAGCCCAACTGTTAGTTCCCACGTGCTCCTAACCAGGTGAGCACCATTGCTTCTTCTCGCCTCAGAGATGTTTTATTCAGTGAAAATCCAGTCCTTAACTTGTCCTGGTTTGGCTGGGACAGAATCCCAGCCCAGCCATGCCGGGCAGGCCATTACCAGCTTCATGTTGGCCAGGGCAGCTGGCCCGAGTTAGCTGCAGCCACACCGTAATGTCATGGTGATCATAAAGGGGGAAGGTTTCCTGAGGAGAGAGGGCTCCTGTGGGGTCCCTGCTGAGGTTCCTCCTGCTCCTCCTCTGGCTGCTCCCCAGTCGATTATGACAATGGGATGTTCGTTTTGCTAAGTATAGCTCTGTATCAATCTCTGTTGGTATTGGTGGTGTTTCATTAAACCTGTTTCCCTTCTACCCACAGGTCTGCTCTCCTTTTTCCCTGATTCCCCTCCCTGGCTGGTGAGGGGTAGTCGGGTGATGGAAAAACTGTTACAGTTTAGCCCCAGGTACAGGCTCAATGTAGACATTACTTTACCAGAGCTTTTATATGTACCCAACAGCCCAATGCGTAACCAGGGCACCAGGTTTGCTTTGTGAGCAACAGTTTCTTGCCTGCCCATTTAGATTTCAGGAGCACCAAAGTGTCCTGGAGCACATTCGTGCTGCCTGCTCTGGGCTATCTTCCTCCCTCTGGGTGCTCCAGACTAGGCAGGGAGCAGACCAGGACTAGATGAACAGTAGCTACCTGCTCCTCCTGGCCAGCTTTCCCTAGACACACACCTTAGGCATGTGGCTGCCTAAACGTGCATAAACAGAGTAAAAATTCTGTCTGCACCACTGCTCATCCAACAACTTGCTTGTGTTGGGAAGAGGCGTATGTTCAATGTTACAAGTGCGAGGGGTTACTCCTGAGACGCCTGTCCTAAGCGACAGTTATTTTCCTGTAGCAATATAGATGGGCTTTTCATCACAGTATGGTCTGACCTTTGCTCAGATCTCTACCCCACCTAAGTATTAAATATTGTCTTAAATGCCACACTGAAGTGAATTTGTGACAAAATGTGAGATTTCATTTTCCTCTGCACCGTTACTTAAACAGTAAAAATCAGCAGTGCTCCAGGTATCTCCTCACTGCCCTGCCCTCTCCACGGGAGCAGAGTATCATTCCCTGTCACTGTGAAGTCTCCTGCTTAGAAACACGCAGCTGCAATCAGTGTCCTTCTGTGCCCTTGCCATAGCAGCAGTGTACGCGAGGACGGAGTTGGTGGTGTGAACCCGGACCAAACCAGTAACGAACAAGGAAGCCATTTTACACAACTGGGGTTTCCACCCCTATTACCCCTATTACAGTTTCACAGCTCTAGAGATAAAACTAAGAAAGCGGTTCTGCTTGTTGTGATGTCAGCTTTAATCACAGAACGTAACCTTTCTGATTAACAAAACTGGATAGCCATTAAACAGTGATCAAATTAGTCTTTATTGTTTCACTATTTATAACATCTGTAAGGAAACTGCCTGGAAACGTAAGGGTTGGATCCTCTATCCCACAGTACCACGACACGAAACTAACAGCAACAAGTGACAGGCTTATTGCATGAACACTGATGTACACAGCAGAGGGAGATAACGTCCTGACACAAGCCCTTAAAAAAGGGTACTGTAATTTTGTTTAACCAAAATTCATACTTAACAACAAATACAGTTTTCTGCAAAAATCTGATGCTGCCACGTGCAACCCTCTGTTACTTAAGTACATCCTGTTTGGGCACTTTTAAGTTTTTCCAACGTCGCAAAATTACTTTGTATTTTTCACTTTCAGTTTTGTTAGATAATTTTTTTAAGACCACCCGCATAACTACAGCAGTTCCTGTTTCTTTGTCTTCACCTACTATGAGATCCAGTGTGTCACCAACTTTCACCTGGAAGTAGAAAGAGAAGATGAGTTATTAGAAACATTCCCTGGGGAAAACAAATCCCCGCAGTCTATATCCAATTTTAATTTTGTTCCTTTCTTTCCACTAAATATTCTTATCTTGCAGGGGAGGAGAAAGGCAGGCCATACTAGACCCATTATAGATCCTCCAGCTATGAACTTCTAGGACAGCCCTGGCAGTAAGCAATTAAATGTCTCATGACCTTCTCTGCCAAGAGCTTTGCCCTTCCCGTTCCACAACCGACGCCTAGCTCTGTGAAAAAGGTGTAATGTAGTACGTCTTCTTCCTGAAGGGTGTTCCCTGCCAATCTTTTTGCATCAATGCAGACACAAAACAGCAAAACCCAAAGCTCTCCCTCCTGCCTTTAAAACAGTCTGAAGTGTTTAGGAACAGGGTGCTGGTCAACCGCTGGTGCTCCTTTCAAAAGTCACAAAAGCAGGCTGCCTCTTGGGAGCTAGCTGTCACTTGAGGGGATCAGGAATGAAAACTTCTCTTCCTGTTGCCCTTTGATGACAGTAAGCACCTGGGATCACCCTCACATAAAGGGTGGGCAGACGTACGTTTGTCACCGTTCTGGTGAGCTCTGCTGTGAAAGAGTACGGCCTGCAACCCTTCCGGCTCTTCTCCTGACTGCGCTCCTGTGCGCTCCGTTACACGTACAAAAACCCTTCCTGAGCCACCCCAGTTTCAACCCCTTCCTATCATCAAACTTTCTCTTTTTCTTTAACCGTGTGCCTGCTCCACCAGAATCTCAGATTTAATCATTCCTACTCCATCGACCTCACACCGACCATCGCTTCCTTCAGCCACTTCTGCCCTTGCTGCTGTCCGCCTTCTCCCAACTTCCAGCCTTAGGCTTTACTCTCCAACAACCCAAGTCTCCCACCTGCCTTAGGGAACAAAGTCTTACCCAGGGAACCACAGTCACGCCAATCACGCACACGCAAAGCCGGACGTGCTGTTAGCAACGCTATTCATTCGCCTTTGCAGAGCGATTTAGAGGGAGAAGAAGAGGTCATGCCTTAGTTATTTTCTTGTACTGTATTAAAAGATTTAAATTTTAAAAAGTCTTACAGTTCTACTTTTCTTCCATAGTTTTTCTCCATTCAGCCTGAGTTCATTATTGTAGAATGCATCTTCTACTTTACTGAAGAAAAACAAGGTTTTATTGCATTTACAGTGTGCAACAGACCAAACGCAATTGTTTCTTTGCAGATATACAAGAACACCATTCACGTGCAAGGCACGTTTCCACAGCTCTAATTCTTGCAGTAAAGCACACCTTTATTTAAGGTCAGGACAGACTTGAACTGGAAGAAAAAGTCTCTCATAGATATTAAATGAAATAATAGGATATAGTTGCTCTGTGCCACATGTGCAAGCAGCCAAAAGCTGTTTCTAAAGACCTGTCTCCTGAATACCCAGCAAACACCGTCCCCTTTCCTGCACCAGCCAGAGTAACAATTTTTAAGTGACCAAGTTATACCCACACTCTAACCACACTGCAACACAAGGCTTCTGCAGGTTGCGTTAGATCACACGTTGTGATACATTTACAGACCGCAGAGTTACCTGACTGACCTAGTACGTCAGGTTCATACTTACCATCACCTACTTCTACAGCTATTAAGTAGCACATTATTTTACACCCTCAACCTCAATTTAGACCTTGTTGTAGGATTTAGTACAGTATTTCGAGTTTTCTTCATTTTAAATACACAGTAACTGATAAACAAATGCCTCCTCAGCAGTCTTAGAAATACTGCAGATGGCAAAAAAGCAAAACCAGGGTTCTTTCAAGGGAGGGAAGGTGAAACAAACAACAATACCCACACATCCAAGCCACATTTTTAGACAGTCAAAACAGCTACAGCCAGAAACTCAAATACCGAGCTATTCCAGCAATAAAAGGGTATCAAAAATCAAATCTTTCTCATCAGCAGCAGGTCGTTTCTTCCATACTTACTTTCTTGCAATGTCTAGACCAGCTTTCATGATCACATCGTACCGAAGAGACGGCACTACTTTTTCAAGATCCTTGTAATCTTTTACTACGTTGGGGTCATTTTCAAATTCATCTTCCAAATCTCTCTCGTCTTCATCTTCATCCTCTTCTTCCTCTTCTTCCTGTACAGTTTGTCTGCTCCTTTTAGAGCTTTTGTTACTTTTGTTCCGCAGAGAAAGTACTGAGACATACTCTGGAGAAAGTCTTAGTGCATGAAGTTTTACTGGGGAAAAGCTGAAACATCTTCTGTAGTTTACTGTGCTTGCTTGACAGCTACAGAACACGCTTCTCCTCCAAGAGGGATACAGTCTATTAGAGGGGAATTTCTCCCACAGTCCAAACCAGACATTCAGTTTTCTAAAAGTAGCGATGGGGAGTCTGAAGCCAGTCATAGCATACCCTAAAATGAAACAAACATTCATATGTAAAAGCGAGTAGCTGCTTTGACTAATGGAAAGATCTCTCCAGGCACAGAGTAACAGTTACTACAAAACCATCATTATCCAGTTCCCCATAAAGCAATGCATCACCTCAAAGCACAAGGGTTATACAGGCTTTATGATCCGCTTGTCTCATACACCGTCCACCATCACAAAGAGCTAAAACACCAGGTGAAAAACAAACACTAAACCCCCCAGTAGAATACTCCCTAATTCCTCTTCTGGTGTTTAATATTAACTGTCCAAACACATCCGTGGTATTTTCCTCCCTACATCTGAAATGTCGAAAGCTGCTTAACTTCAGTGCCTGTTTGGACCTCAAACACTCCTGCGTGGCAGAATGCTGCAAAACATTCAACCCGCTTCTCCAAATGGGAATTAGCACCACGGTAGAGCTCAGAGAAATAACCCTGCTCTGTGTAGCGCGACAGGACCGATGCAGCAACAACAGCCTCATGCGCAAGCTCCCCAGTACTGCTCCTTTCTGGAGCCACCCCTAACCTGGGACAAGTAGGTAGAAACACCCCCAAAAAAACCCCAGATGTCTTTCAACACTCTTAGAAATTCATTTACAGTCCTTCCTAGCTAGGTGGAGCACTGGCTTTTATTACGGCCTTATATATGTGGAAACAAGTGTTTCTTCATGAGACTGAAGTTTGTTTTCCCCACACGCAAGTGAACCCTGCCAAAATCTGATTAAGGCATTTTAATGTGGTTGGGGAAAAGCCCTGATCAACGCAGACAATTTCTGGCCAAAGAGAAATAACCACACCTTGCTTGGCTTTTGCTGTATTTAAATATGTGAACTTAAAATAAATGACATTTGGTTTAAAATTTAGGATGGTGCAATCCTCACATAAGACTTATGCCTCTCCTCAGTTTGTTGACAAATTCCTAGAACAGTCATTTGAACGTTTAAACAATTATAATTGCTTATTACAGTGCTCCATCTCACTTTGCTCCCCGGTGGCCAGCGGGTACGAGCGGCCCCTGAGACAGCCCCTGCCAGGAGGGCCGCAGCCCGCCCCAGGTACCAAGGGCGGCCTCTCACCCTCAGGAAACCTTAAGGCGCACAGATCCACCCACACCCGCCCGCTCGGGGGGACACAAGGCCGGACGCTGCCGAAGGCTGGGAGCCCGTTCAAAAGCATACAGCCAACACAACGCCAGCTTTCGCGGCGGGGGCCCGCACAGCTTCTCCCTGCCCCGAGGC